TCTTCTGAATGATGTAAAGTAAAGAGCTACTTAATAAAAGTTTGCACTTACTATTCAATTTTGTATTACGAGGGGCATGCCGTCTGTACCTTCACAGTCGGCTACTCTCCATTGAGTTTTTCACTCTACCTTCAGAGGGGCATGCCGTCTGTACCTTTACAGTCGGCTACTCTCCATTGAGTATTTTACTCACAATACTTAGCTAAAAGGATAAGGGCCTGGCCGACCCTGTGCCTAACAGGCGGCTACCCTTCTTTTACTTAGCACCTACGTTCACCAAGAACTTACCAAGGCCACCGGCCGAATGATCAGACCAGGCGCCAAGCCACCTGATCAATTTACAAAACTAATACGACCTGTCCCAACATCATAGCAGGCGTCCGACGGCATCCCTCCGGATGAAATTCGTCGAAGAGAGCAGCTCCCTTTTGGGTGGAACATTGTTCTATAAACTAATTACACGGCACCTATACGACTGTCCCCAAGGGCAACCACGTAGCCGTTTTTGAGGCAAGGATAACTCTATCACTAACCAAACCAGTGGTAGCAGTTGACATCTGAGTCAGATGACCGCCTGTATTACTTGGGATAGATGCAGGGGGTACCTATTGAGTTAATAGCCAACAAACATTGGCGAATCAAGGGGTCTAGCCGGCCTACGCCGCCTGGTACCTCTACTTCTCAAACAAAAGTGGCGGCGACTGAGTAACTCTAACGTTAACTCATAGTCACTCCTTCAAACTTGGTATGGAACCTAAAAGGTTGGAGTCGTCCGCCTGTTTAAACAAACAGGGGCACTCAAACCCCTATTCCTACCAGGTAACCTATTGAGTTAATAGCCAACAAACATTGGCGAATCAAGGGGTCTAGCCGGCCTACGCCGCCTGGTACCTCTACTACTCAATCTAGATTGTGACGAAGACTAAGTAACTCTTATGTTAACTTAATAGTCACTCAAACTTAGTATGGAGCCTAAAAGGTATGAGTCGTCCGCCTGTTTTTAACAAACAGGGGCTCTCAACCACTACTCTTGCTGGGTTAACAAATTACGAGTTAAAAGCCAACATTGGCAATAAAGGGAAACAACCGGTACCCGCCGCTTGTTATCCTACTTAATTCCTTTGCGACTAACACTCTATTTACTTGGTCAGACCGATTGAATAAATGGCCGACTGATCGCCCAGCTTGGAAACAGACAACCAGTCGTCCAGGGGCATAGGCGGACCATCCGTACCTGTCTACAATCGGCCATGCAAAACAGTCGATATAGTGTACAATGCAATACCAAATATTCAACACTTAGACAAATTTCAAGCAAAGAATGATTTCATTAATAGATAAAAATATTCAGAACCCCGGCCCCCTGGCCGGGTAATTACAAAAGCAAACGGCACGCAGGCCGTGGAAAAAATACTTAAAGCTTAAGAAGGGGGCAGTTCAGTATCAGCAGCTGCCGCCTGGTCAGCACTCTTCTTGCTGGACTCGGCTTTAGCTGCACCCTCTTTTGATGCCTTACCCCCAAGTGGCACAAGCGCCACAACCGGCTCTTCCTCCTCCAACGCACCTTCCAATGCCTCTTCTTCAGCAGCCGCCAGGATCTGTTGATTATATGTTTCCGAACACTGGCGGTACGTTCTTTCCCAGGAGGCAAAGTCGGCACTGGGGAACAGTCGTTCCCAGGTCATGCGCTGGATTTGAGCGGAGTCTTCCACCATCTCCCGGACGAGCTCTTTCTTCTCTTGCTCGGCCTTTTCCGAGAGCTCTTGGGTAAGACTCTTCTCTTGGTTCACCAGGCGTTCTTTTACGTTGGCCAAAGATTTCTCCATGGCTTCGTAAGAGTGCATTTTTTGGCGAAGAGGCTTCAGCTCGGCCTTAAGGTTTGTGATGGTCGCCTCCAGCTCGTCAACCTTCTTTTGGGCCGCCTCTAACTGAGCCCGAACAGCGGCGGTAGCCTGCGCCTGATAATAAAGAAGATCAATGGTCAGTACTTCATTTTGGGCAATTTGAAACATTGCCTTATCACAGCTGGAGGCGGCCATAGCTTTTGCGGCCTTTACCTCTTTGTTTTTCCGATCAATCGGCTTGCGAAGGCTGTTGACTCGGAGCAGGGCCTAAGTACAAAGAAAAACAGGCGTCAGCTTCCAAACAAAAAAGTAACAGGCGTCCTGGAACTCAAAAACTCAAAAATATGCTAAGTATACCTCAGCAAGGATCCCTGAAATCCCATCAAGGTCAAGGGTGCCGGCACCCCTGACCGCCTCCCTGTCAGATGGAGGAACTACTTTAACCATGGACTTGGCTACCTCAACCAAGTCAAGCCCCTGAGGGCCGGCTGCATTAAGCGAAAGGAAAAACAAGTTAGACCTAGTCAAGAAGGAAGCAAGAGTGAGTTTTTACAAGTGAGGGTCCATACTACTAGGCGGCCCCGCCGGGGTTTTTGAAGAAGTGGCCGGCTGCTTCTCAGCCGCCACCGTTTTCCTGGAAGACCCAGGAGAGCTTGCAACAGTCGTCCTCCGGGCCTTGGGGTCCGGCTGTTGCGAGGAAGAAGCCCTTGGAGTGCCAGACTGAAAACAAAAAGAGTTAGTATATGCATAAGACAACTAAAAGAGGAAGAGTTTTCGAAGCTTACCAAGGGTGCCCCCTTGTTGGGGGAGTCGGCATAAGACTGTTTCATGAGCGAGGCCCGCAACATGGCCGCCGCAGTCTTGGATGCTGTTATTTTACTCATGGCGTCAGCTGCAAGGAATAAACAGCAAAGTTAGTAAAAATCCCAAGTAAACAAGACGTGAAAAAGCAGAGTATTTGTCAGGCCGGCTACCTCTAGAGCACCGACTGCTGAGGCCACAGGCGGCCAAAAAGTACTCGTCATAGAGCCACTTGAAGCTCGGAACGCAGTTTAGGGGTACTTGCTCTCGTACCCCTGAAGTAGAGTTCACCCTAGTCTCTACTTTGAAGAGTCCTTTGTCTAGGATCTCTTTTTTAGCCTTTGGGGGAACAGGCGGCATGCTGCGGCCGCCTGCGAGAAGAGGCGGATCCCTATTCCACTTGTTAAAACGTTGGTTCAGCTCCGTGTCTGAACCCTCAATGATAAGGAAGGTGTTCCGCCAATCCTTCCATTTGTTCGCTTTACCTCTCGTCATGAGGTAACCCCTATGGCTCGTTAATTGATACCAGCCGGTACCTCCCGACTTAGGGGTCCGGCTGAGATAGTTCATGTGGGCGAAAGCCTCAAAGCTTGGCTCCACCCCGTACATTTCGCACCCGGCCACATAGCCGAGTACGTTTACCCAAGAGTTGGGGGCTAACTGCCATAACCCCAAATCATACCCATCTAAAATCCGCTGAACAGCCGGATGTAATGGGAAGCGCAGTCCAGCTTTGATGGCCGCCACATAGCAGCCAAAGCAGCCGTCATCATAGCTGGTACCAGCCGGCCAGACGACAGTGTCTTCTGGATCCGGCACGAACAGTAAAAATTCCGGGCCCATTCTGTGGTTGGCAATAAAGCTCGCCACGTTATCTTGCATGGTTGCGATCCGGCCCCGGGGCACCTTGCAGTAGTAGGGGGCGTTTTCCTCTCTGTAAGAGGCGGACGGCTCCGCCCAATTGTCCCCCTTCTCAACTGCGTGAGAAAGTCTCGCCTCTTGTAGGCGGCTATGTTTTTCTTCTGAGCCTGGAGAACTGTGGCCAGAAGAGCTGGACTCGGACTCGTCCTCTGATGAGTCCGAAGAGGACGACTCCTCCCCTCTCCCAGAGGGGCCCGCCTCCTCTCCCTTAGAAGGGGCAGGGACCACCTTGGCCTCTCTCTCAGAACTGTCGGCTTGGCAGTCGCCTCGTTTCAATTCTACATCTGGCGCCTGGTCAGATGTTTCACTAAGGAGCACTCTTTGGGAGGAGCCGTCCGATTTTGATATCATAGCAGTCTGTTTCGTTCTGGCCATCACGTTCTGCATAGACACAGATACAGTCGGACTTCGTATAAAGGGCAAAGATGGGTCCAGAAAAGGGCAGGCGGCACTCCTAGTCCTAGATTCAGCCGTCCCCGGTGACCGGCTGATCACTAACTTAGGTCGTGTCGTGTGCTTCCGTGGTGCCATTTCAAAAAAATAAAAAGAAAATTAAGAGTAAGAGAACTGAGTTACCTGAACGAGTGACGGTTGATGAAGTTCTGGAAATCCGGTGCAGTCGGCTTGTCAGAACAGGCGGTAGGCAGAAAAGGTCCGAAATGTCAGAGCAAGTTCAGGGGTCCGAATGTTCTCGCAAAATTCTCAAATGTGAAAATGACCGAAGTCAGCACTTCCTTATATAGGCAAAGTGAGAAGGCGAAGGGTCGCTTCCAAATTCAAAATTTGGGCGGGAAAATCTCTCGGCCGTTTGCAAGGTGACACCTGTAGCAGGCCGTCGCCTGTCACCGTGCGACACCTGTCACAGGCGACACGTGACCAGTCACGTGCCACCTGTGAGGGGCAAATGATTAGGGGATTTTTATCCTCCAATCACCGTCTGACAAGTGGACCAACCAGGTTCCGCCACGTGTCCTTCACGTAGGCCAATAGGAGCCTGCCACGTGTCAACCACAGATTCGTCCTCTGCGGACCAATCAAGGCACGCCACGTGTCCACCCATGCCAAATGGGAAAACCGGCCATCAAGGCCCAACTCAGTCTAGAGGCCCAATCAGCCCTAGGTTTACCTTAAACCTAGAAAGTGGCACGCTTCCCAAGGTTATAAATACCTCCCTTAATCCTCATTAAGAAGGGATTACAAACGAAAAATACATTAATTACACACAGTAATAACCGGCTGATCTCGCTAACAAAGCAGATTACCAACACTAAGCACTCTCACCTAGAGAGACCTTATTACTTTAATTTCCGTATTAATTACTCCTTAATCAGGTACTAACTTGACCGTTGGAGGCGGAGCTCTCAGGAGTCTCCGTTATTTTGCAGGTACAGGCGTCCGGTTCCAGTCTCGGAATTGTAACTCTCCCGCAGGACATCAGAAAACCCCGAAACAGTGCTCATCTGATATGACTGCAATCCCCTCACCTTCACCCAAATCCAAAGTCGATTGCAATGCATTGAAGAACCATTCCCAAGACTGATTATTTTCTCCCTCCACTATAGCCCATGCTATAGGAAACATCTGATCATTAGCATCTCTTCCTATAGCAGATAACAGTTGTCCGCCGAGGAATGTTTTGATGAAACATGCATCAACACAAATCACTTTTCTGCACCCCTCTCTCCATCCCTTTTGCAAACCCTCAAAACAGGTGAATAACCTTTGAAATATAGGATTACACCCTGGTTACTCACTCTAGTTACTAACTCTAATTTTGTGCCAGGAGCAGTGTTCTTTATTGCCTCCAGATACCTACCCAATTTTTGGTAATGCTCTTTCATTGACCCATGCAATAACCTGTGTGCATATTACTTGATTTTATAAGCAAAATCCTTAGTCACAATAACCTTGTAGGCTCTCCTCACTGTCTCGACTATCTCTTTAGCAGGCCAATGCGGTCTTGCCTTAAACACCTCAATAAATTGCTCTGCTAGCCAAGTAGACTTCAGCTGCTTATTCTTTTTCATATTCCTGTGACAAGTATGGTTGTCCTCAACTGTCTTAATAACAAATGTTGCCCTCCGAGAATCCCAAGAAGAGTACATGTAAAAGGGACAACCTGCAGTACACCTTACTCCTAGCCTTTGCTGTCTATACTTGTTGCTGCATATAATGCTCAAATTCCTCCCTTGCAATATTGCATACTTTGCCAGTGCCTTTTTGAAATCCCCTCTATTGGAAAATCTGAGCCCTACTCTCCACTTGAAAGTTGAGAAATCTGTATCTGGACTTACTAAGAGACCTCTACTTCCCTTTTACTTACTTGCGCATCTTCTTCTCCGCTGTCACTTGGTGTATGAATATCATCATCTGAGTCCTCATAATCACTCAGATTACCTCTTGAAGTTTCCTCAGATCTAGGTGCATTAGTTGATTGATTCTGAGCACAAAGCCTTCCGTCAGCTGCCTCTTTTTCTAGTTGCTGAGCAATCTCATGAAGCTTGTGATTGCACTCTTTCACCCTAGTCTTAGCTATCTGTAACTCATCATCACTCGTGTCTGAATCATATCCTAACAACTCATCATTAAACTCATCAGCTTCTCTCTCTAAATTTGCAATTTCATCTCCATCTATGGCATACTCATACTCTCCAGCATCTGACTCATTAACCTCCCTTGTCCCACCTTCATTTTCCTCTAAATCGGGCTCATAATTTGTATCACTTCCCTCACTTGAACTGTAACCAATTAGCTCTGCATAACCTAGTGGACTTTCAGGCCTGTCATCATAGAAATCATCAAAATCAGAGGGTATATCTTCTATGTTAATTTCTAGTGTTTGGAGTAGTTCTTGTTGGCTTGGGAAAATTGTGGGAATGGAGGTATTTGATGTGTTTAAGGGATGAGGAGTTTCAGTGTTGTCTTTCTTTTATGGGCAGGATTTGGATTAGGGTTTTGAGTTGTTAAAGATGAGGTTTGACCAACACATGCTGAAGTGGAATCATCTTTTTCTTTATGTGGTCCCACATTAACTGCAGTAGCTTTTTCAACTACTTTTGGGATAACATTTTCAACAGTTTGTTTTGCTTCTGTTCTGGGGCTATATCTGAGTGGGGTGCTTAAAACAGTAGGTGGTCCTTGGTAGGCGTGTCGCGTACCTATCAAAAATAACCTAACAGACCAATACTAATGTAGACTGGCAAGTAAGGGTCGGATCCCAAGAGACTAAGGTTCAAAAATAATTAAATAGACTCGAATTTCTACTAAGCAAGAATCAATTATAATCAATAACTAAGGATCTAAAATTTAGGAAAAATTCGAAAATAAACTAATTAAGATGATTAAATCAAGCAATTAAAAACATCCAAGATCTAGCTTCACCACAACTATTATCGATGCAATTGTAATTCTACCCTTAACATACGATTTCAATTGAACGGGGAAAAGTAAACCCTAATAAATACCAAGGATCTCTCTCGAGTATCAATGGCTTCCCTAACATACAATCAATCCTATTCTCATGGTATCATGCATATTAAAGACATTAAACACGTTACTCTCACTTCCCAATTATCAAACACAACTACTCTCGTGTTGAGAATCAAACCCTAAATTGATTTACTCAAATCCGTTTATACCCAACTCTCGCTGTGATAAAAACAATGGAATAATCGCAATACTATATATAGTTACGTCTAACCTAGCATTGGCATAATCACAATCAATTTAACAATTCAATTGTTAAAGTTATTAAAGAAATTAAAGATTTAATTCATGCATCAATAATAATAGGGATACACTAGATCTTGAATTAAAGAATCTACTCACACATGATTAAAGAAACAAAAACAATAATAAATAATGAAAACATAATTAAATAACAAAGGATGAAAAATAAATACCAAATCTTGAATGAAATTGAAAGTAGAAAGCTTGAATCTTGAATTACAAAACTTGGAAAAAAATAAAGGAGAACTACTGCTTAAGGAGAGAAAATAAAATAAGAACAATGCTTAATTAATTAATGAATGCTTTAAAACAAAGCCTAAAAGAGTATATAAATAAACCTAAAAAGATAAGATTTAACTCCAAGCTTTGGCGCACTAGGATTCCAGGAGGCACGGACGTGCCTAATAGGGAGGCACAGACGTGCCTCACTGCGTAGCAAATTGCTGTTGAGTCTGTCTTCCAGGCACGGACGTGCCTGGTTCTGCTGCTCGTATCACTCATCTTAAATCAGTCATAACTTCATATCCGGAGCTCCGTTTGAGATGTGTAATATATCGTTGGAAAGGTCTTCAAGTCTACTTTCCAATGAAATTTGAATCACTCCATTATCATTTGTATACCAAAAGTTATGAGCATAATAGTGAACAGGTGTCATATTTGTCAAGTATTTCATCAACGTTTTGCTTCATTTTCACTCAAGTTCGTCTCGAACACATGATTTGATATTCTTAAGCAATATGTTTTCATACTCCATGATTATTATACTCAATATTAGCCAACCATACTCCATTTGCATATTAATCGCCTGAAATTCATCAAAACACACAAACGAAGAGTAGTAGAGCACAACTTAAGCAAATAATGCAAATATGCACCAAAGATCTCTAATTTTGTAATCAAATGAGCTTAGATACCCACCTAAAACATGTGCAAAATAGGACCTATCAGTCCTATCATGGGAGTTAATTTCTTAGGTCTGGAGTTATTATTGGGCTTTTTTGTGGGCTTATGAATGGGATTCTCAACTATCTTCTCGGTGGGCTTAGTTTGAGGTACAGATATTATAGATGATGATTGTGGCCCTTCTACTTCGAATACAGAGTCAATAGGTTCTTGCTCATCAACACCATGTACTACATACACCTGAATATATTTTTGCTTCTTAACAATCTCAGTCATCTCCAACACCTCTTTGTCATCATACACCTTTCTCAATCCACTTTCAAGTGACATCCCAGGAATGAGGTAATATAGTGTATCAATCTTACTATAATTCCCAATATTTTTTGCAAGGTCAACCAAGTCCCACCAGCAAAGTTCATCAGGATCTACATCAAATGTTTTTCCTAGCCCACCATAATATACTAACTCATTTCTGTGTTTCTTAAACAACCCACCATGCCAATATTTCAAAGTTACAGAATCCATTACCACTGCTGTACCTAAGACAATTAAAATTAAATTCAAAATTAATCTACTGCTATGTTAACCCTAACACAAATTATCGAAAATTAATCAATTCATTTAAGAAATTAATCAACAATACAAATGTAATTATTTATTACTTAAGCAAATGTAGTACACAAATATGATGCAATTCACTCGAATTGATACAATTTCAGTCAAACAACGCAACAACAAAGCCCAATTTCAAACATATATATATATATATATATATATATATATATATATATATATATATATATATATATATATATATATATATATATATATCTATGTACTATACCAATCTGAGAATTATACCGCAATTTTGTGATTAATCTACTACTATGCCCATTTCGTATTTCAGACATAATTAACTAGGAGATAAGCCAATTTCGAACCTACCCATTTATGAACCCAAAATTCGTTGCTCTAATTTCGTAATTATACCGCATTTTACACCAATAAAACCCAAAATACACTACTCTAATTAATTAGGAGAAGATAATATACCTGTACTGTAGTCGTTCCTCTTTGGGCAAGCTTCATATCCGTACAACAATGGCAGCAAATACTTTAGGAAGTTTTAGAGTACATTAGAGAAGAATAAATGGTGGTTAGCATTTTTTTTTTAGAGGAATGCAAAAGGACGAATTTAGGTGGCAATTATGTTGACTCAGCAAGTTCCAACCGTTTTGATAGGTTGCCAGTCACCTTGGACCAATATAAGAAGAAGGGTGGAAAAGGTTGGATTATTCTGAGTTAAATTAAAGTTGGAACTGTTTTAAGAAGACCGCTTAAAAGTTGGATTATTATTTTCCAATTTTCCTTTTTTTTATCAGAAGTTCTCAATTTTGAATTTTTACTGAATACATGCATATTGTATGGCAAATTTTAAATCAATTGCCTTTTGAAAATTAAAAACCAAACTTAAAAAACAATCGTGATAAGGTAAGCAATAATTTTTTTGAGGACTCAGGTACAACTCAGTAACTCACGTCAAGAAATAAAGGTTTTTCTTCATATTTATAATTTTAACTATGCTTTTAAATTTGCACCTTGTAATACTTATTGTTTTTTTTTATTATTATTATTAGAATAAAAAAAGATAATAGAACTTAATAGGTTTCTTAAATTATATTGCACATGCACAAATTGTATGTTTTTCGTGAGCTTGTACGTTTAATCCGTCCTTCTTCATAATCCAAATTTCAGTCACATTATCTCGCTTATTATTAAGCAATAAACACAAAACTCCTAAACCCAGCTCCTCGTCACTTTTACCTTTAGAGCTAGCAAAAATTGTAACAACTAGTCCGATGCACTTTCTTAGAAAAACTCCATAACACCCAATGGAGTAAATAGCTGTCTATTAGAGCACCAGTTTATGGGGTTAATCGGTTAGAATCATAAAATCGTCTAGTGCATTATATTGAATGCTTAACTAATGCCGTGCAACATTCTTTGGAATTAACACAATGAATGCTTTGATCAAATAAACTACAAACTACATTTTCAAATTTCATAATAATGAAACAATCATATGATAATACACCTTAGTTAATTTCAACTATCCAACCCTTTTTGTCTTCAATCTGGCCATTTTGAATACCAACATATATTGACGAGAGTTTCTTATACATTGAATTGGTGTCTGTTGTTCCGTATTCTACCCTGCATTGTTTCCATATCAAAAAATTCTTGCATTAGGTACCTTGTTAAGTACAAAACACTTTCTTTAAATCGTGCTCATATTTTTGTCATTTTGACCATTAATATAGGGTGCATAACATAATTAAAACTCAAGGTATTTGTGTACATACCTTTTGGCTTGGTATGTAATGCTACCCACTGGTACAACCACAACAGCAGTTCCGGTGCAGAAAGCTTCATCTGCTTCGAGCAATTCCTCCACCGCAATCTGCCGCTCCTCAACCTAAACAAGTTGTACTCATTTGAGATAAGGTGCTATATATAGTCAAGTAGCTTAGTCATGTCATATTACTCAAGTACGTATTGGTTGTTCAACTTGGCGCGATATATAACCCTAGTTTTGAAGCGAATTGAATGACTAACCTTAAAACCTTGTTCTCGAGCAATTTCGATCATGCTTTTTCTCGTCACTCCTGGGAGAATTGTGCCTTTTGTTGGTGGGGTTGAGATTATTTTGTCCTGTAACATGTGCATAACATATGTAACGTATTCAAATTAATTAAATGAACCATGCATCTCAGTCTTAGTGATTTCTATTGACTCATGCAAAGTAAAATGAGAGTACATTTTTTTCATCCTTGTATATCCTTGTATATGTAGATCCAAGAAGTATGTATTACCTTAACCATAAATATGTTACAAGCAGAGACCTCCTCTATATATTTCCCAGTCGCGGAATCAAGATACAAGACATCCGAATAACCATTGTTTTTCGCTTTTGCTAATGGTTTCATAGCCTGAATTTTTTTAATTATTAGGGCAAGTGATCATAAGTTGGTAACAGATATAGATTTCACACCATCAATTATTTCAATAGTTTTGAAATTAAAGTGAGAAAAACATTTGCTTACTGGCGCATAGTTGGTAATTGATTTCACCCCACCAGCACCACCACGAGAAGCACGATCAAATTGATCCTCAACATACAAATTCAAGGCAGCACTCTCTTCCTAATAGAAGATAAATTACGATTACAACTTAGCACGCTCTTAAATCAATAGTAAAATCACATATACTCCATCTATCTCTAGATAACACGGAGTACTGGATAGGTAATATTAAAGAACGGAGAGAGTAAACCTTAAAATAGTTACGAACTGGAGAAGCATAGATAAGGAAAGTGTACTCGGGAGCTGGAGCCACACCCAGGATTGCCCCAGTTCCTAGGAGCAAAGGTCTAATGTATAATGAACCTTTCCCTGGTGGAGGAATCTGTTACAACATATTGTATGAGATCAGAATTTTTATCAAATAATATCATAATAATACAAATTAAAGGGGATGATTAATTTGTAATTACATTAATAAATCATACGAAGGTTAGTTTAGGTTAGAAAACTGTATATGTCACATACCCAACGTTTATTAGCAAGAGCAGTTTGTTTAACTGCATCAATAAACGGATCAACCGAAGGCGAAGGCATACACATTCTTTCGGCACCTATTCTCATACGTAACGCATTTTCATCTGGTCGGAATAAAACAACCTTCCCATCTTCTCTCCTAATTGCTTTCATTCCTTCAAATAAACCCTTTACAAGCACAAACTTACTAACGTTAGCTTGAGATTAAATGTCACGTAAATAGTGTAATTTGAATTTAGCCACGTGAACTACATTAGACCAAGATAGTACTTGATAGCATATTCATATTCATCGAGTGAAAATTTTACAGTAGCCCTTTTGTAAAAGTACATTTTTCATCTTAAGATAATATATTGTATTGTTAATGATTTTCAATGTTATTTTTTTATATACAAGGCAGCTTACAAAAATAATCATTAGTGCATGCATAAGTTAACGAAATAAAAGAAAATGACTAAACTTAAGCTTAATTAATTACCTGGCCATAATTCAAAACACAAGCTGCAGGACTCAGCTCGATGTTTCCATATGGAATTAGTTTACCTTCCGTAAATTCCTCGTCTTTGAAACATTTCATCTTGTACATGTAATCTGTACTTGTTAGCCCAAATCCTAAAGTGTCCCAATCAATGTCCACGTACCCATTCTCATCGCTACCAAGAAAATAAATTAAATGTCGTTAATCATATGTAGCATAGCATACTGTTAGGAAAAAAAATTCTATAATTTTGGCTAATGATTTATCCCACCAATGGGTTTAATTTCTTTAACCCACCGGTAGGGGAAAATTTTGTAAACACTTCCAAAATCAAACCTGCTCTGATACCAGAGAGATAGAGAGAACTGAATGGCTTGTATTGCTTATTATTCATCAATAGGTAGATTATTTATACAAAACCTAAGACCATAAGATAGGAAACAATCTTCCTAAAAGATATCTACCATAATCATATATCCTAAGATATATTCACTAAATATTATGTTTAACATAAATAATCCTAATTATATTATCTTAATAAGAACAATACAGAAAATATATCACATATATATTTTTCGATATTGATGATATCATATCTCTAACACATACTAATGATTTAAAAGTTGCGAGTAGAGACCATATGCATACAAGTTATAGGAGGTTATATCGGTCCACACACAAACTGTAATGTGAGCATCATTCACTAATTTTATTCACGTTACATAAGCAATCTAATTATTCTATTGAATAATCTAGAATAAAGTTGATTTAGAAATTGATCTAATTATTCTATTAAACTCTCATATAAAGATGTTCTTTTATTTCATTCCAAGTACGACAATTGACTTCAAAGATTATCGTTTCAATTCACTTTTGTGGTGTTACAGATTTGGATTAAAGAAGATAAACATAAAGAAAATGATTAGTTAATAAAAACCATATAGTGACTAAAAAGTAAATAAAAGTATATGAATATACAAAATGCACCATATTACCGCAATGAAGCAAATATAAGTCCATGACTAATGAGATTTAATGAAAGTTTAGACATTAAAACATATTCGGGCAAAATTGCGGCATATTACCTTAATCCCGAAGAAATTGAAGATGATATTGCCGCCGGCGCCATGGATGAAATGTAAGATTTATACGTGCTATTGCTATATCAATTTCAGATAGAGATTGAAGAGATGGTGTGAATAGAACAATTTTAAAAGTGGTAGATAGTGTAGTGCTAATGTTTGGTATCTCGATCAGTATATAAAACTTTGTTAAAATGATGTAGGACTATTACAAATTAAATAATAAAGACTTTATTATAGGGTCAATTTTAATGTATAAATCTAAGTCTACGAATTATGGAATTCTGCAGGCAAATTCCTTATAGATTTCTTTAATTGGGAGAAACTTCTGAGATGGAACCAATATTAACTTTATTTATTTGATGGGAATAATACTTACTGTAAGCTAACTTGCATGACTCATAGTAAAATATTTATTTGGAATATTTAATGTATGTGGACTAGCTCCAGAGCCAGTACATATTTCCTTCGTTTTTAAATGTTTCCGTTTGACATTTAAATTATTTACATTATTTATATAAACTCCAGTTACACTTAATACATGATTAAATTATGTGCATATGGCAATTTATTAGAATTGTCTCAAGTAAGGTTCTTAATATCAACTCTTTAATAATTATTTTATGGATATTGATGATTATAGATATTATTATCAGTTAACCTTTTACATTGTATACATGCTCAGTCAAAATGGACTACGTAAATAGAATCGAAGGAAGTAAATGAGATTTGATTTTAGTTCTTGTATATTAGGGATATGTTGATTTCATGCGAAGTTGTTTTCAGTTGAGATTATTTCTGTAAATTAAGTAAAAGTAAGTTGAGCACCAACGAAAAAAATGTTCAAAACACCTTGCTACTTGCAAGGAGATTCGCCTAATTACCAGAGTTGTTGCTAAAAAAAAACTAATCAAATGCAAAGTAACTAATTATTAATTATATATTCTACCTAATTACTCGTTTATACCAAGTAGCACCGAATTTTCTTCTGAAATTCTCATCGGCCACATGAATGCAAGTTGCAACTATAAACAAAAAATTAAAAAAAAAAACAAATCGTTCAACTAAATTTAAAAACCAGTTGTTAATCAAAAAAATTATCAACCTTTAACTATACTAAGAGGATTTAATCTAGACTTTTTCTTTCTTTTTGAAAGTATGAAATTATCAGGGTATATTTTATCTGATTTTGATAGTGCCTAAATTAAAAGTATTTCGTCGAACACTAATTCTTATATGTGGCTAGTCATAAGGGGCGACCACTTTATAAGATGGCGATCACTTTATAAGGTTAATTAATTGAGTAATAGAGGTTGCTAAATACGATGAACAAATGTACAAAACGTGTCTTTATATTTTTGCCCCATTTAATTTTTCATGGTTTTCAATACGCATTTTAAATCGTATATATTCCATTTTTATATGCGTATTATAAAACTTGATATTAATAAAATATACAATGAGACGATTCCAACCAGATCTCACATGACTGTATTATATCTTACCCCTAATTGTTTGCCCCATTGCAAGTATTTGGGTCAAACTTTAAAAATTTTGTTCATAAATTCTTGTTAATCATAATATCCTCATATGAGATCTTGTTGGATTCGTCTCATTCTATATTTTATTAATATCAATTATTATTATATTAATTTTGACACGTAGTAAATTAATGAGAATGTATCGTCTGTAAATTAATGAGAATGTATCGTCAAAATTATTAAAGCTTGATCCAAATATTGGCAATGCTGCAAATAAAAAAAAATAAGGACCCAATTACTTGGTAGGAGATTACTTCAATTACTTTGTTCCGAATTCTTAAATAAGGCGAACTTTCGTTAACTTATGTAAGACAGGTTACAGTTACTCTAAAATAAGTTACCATTTTTTACATAAATTTTACCCTTTAAAAACACTCATAAGGTAATATATTTTTCATATAAACCTTTATAACATGTATCCATTAGATGATGCACATTATAATACAATCAAACTCACAAATTAAAAGTTACCCTTAAATCCATTAAATTTACTACAAAAAATTAAAAAATAAAAAATTAAATTACCCTTAAATTGACCGTTACTCAATAAATTAACAAAAGTCCCCCTTTTACAATTATTATTATTTTTTTTGGGTACGATATAAGGCACTATCGGGTTGGAATCCCTCACGGGTCTACGTATTGCGGACTAGACAATTTGAAAGAGTGGGGGAAAGATAAGGAAATCTCATCCCCAAATTGTCAATAATGGGGATTGAACTTCTAAATTCCAACCTCATGGTTGGAAGGTGTTCTCCATTCCACTAGGCTAAGCTTAGCTTGGTATACAATTATTGTTATTTAGTTCACTATTGGCATGTTCGTCGTGCGGACCGTTCATCATGGCTTCAATGTTATTGGAGTGTAAATGAGACACATTGACCTGGCCCAATCCAATCAATTTCAATTGTGGGCTGGGTCCACTCTTGGCCTATCCTGTTTTCTTAGTGCGCTCATACCTTTGTAGACCCCGATTACCTTGATATTTTTCGACACTACCTAATACAACTTTGACTTGAATTGAAATCAACCTCACAAAAAAATTAATTTAACAATTAAATCTTATTTTACGACTCACTTACCACTAAAAAAATAAAAATAAAAAAAATGGCTACTCGTCTATACCATCTAATATTAATCTAGAGATGTACTTCAAGTTGACTACTCGTTCATGTCCGTCTAATATAATCTATAGATGTACTTGGTTGAAGGCTTGAAGTATAAAATTGGTTTATATACTTTATTAGTCTATCAGTGCCCTTTTATATGAGAGCCTATTAAACTAGAAATGTGAATACAACATGGAGTTTGTTATATCAGCGCTTAATATATTCCACTTTGAAATAAAGGGTGGATGAGATTTGAACATGTGATCTTTGTATCACGTCGACCATGTTAAAAGATTAATTCAACCAAAAATTTAAATTGATGGTGAATACCATGATTGATTTATTTACTGTTATATTTTATCAAGTTTTAGATATATAACTAAATATTATTATTATTATTATTATTATTATTATTATTATTATTATTATTATTATATATCAATAGCATATTTAATTTCATGATAAAATTTATTTTTGTTACGTTACCAAAAAATACTATGGTCATATTAGTAGATGAATAGCTAAAAAAAGTCAAACTTGTCTTTTAATCTGGGACACAGAGAGTATATTATTTTCATATTTTAATTCATATCCAAATAATTATCCTGTTATCTTAAATGAGAAATTTTCTATACTCAACTCAATAAACTCATGTGATGTATTGATATGGGCTGTATCATTTGATTTCATCACTCTCACCCTTTTTTCTTCTTATTTTATGTGATGCTTCACTAAATCTTTTGTTAATCAATTTATTTGTTTATTCTTATTTTTCATACTACGTACTTACACTATTAAAATTGAAATTACTTTACCAGATACCCTTCATATGCATGCTCAGCATAATTTGAGGAATGAAAGAGTATAAATTAGTAATTATATACACGAAATATATAATTTGATCCATATTATATATAAAAATTCAATGCATAAAATGACACAGTTTAAATAAACCCGATTCAAACAACACCGATATATTAGCTGTATTTGTAAAATCACAAATCAATAATTTCTTGTGACTTGAAATAGAATCCCTAATGCAAAATAAAGCTTTATTTTCTCAAATCTTAGTTGGATATGATATGATTTTAAATTATGGTATAGCATTTGAGTGTCACGTGAAATAAAAGAAATAACAAAACCTGAAATATGATTAATATTAAAGAGATAGGTAGGTGAGAAGAAATGTAGTCATAAAGCAAAAACTTGGCATTAGCTATACAAATAAAACGAGTAGGAGTAGTCATTCATACAAAGGTAAAATAATGGACCACTGCACTCTCGAGCCCTGTTTTTGTCATTGACTTTTATGTTGTTATAGTAAGCAGTCCATGTGAAGCCTACAGCACACTGATAAGAACTAGGATACACCATACACTACCAAAATTAAAATAATGTTCATATATCACACGTTCACATTCATCTTATTCTGGTTACTACTCGTACTAAATAATGGAGTACTTCGTTCTGCTTCGTATCAATCTTTTTAGTTAACGTGTTCCTTTTAATTCTTTATGTCAATAATGTACTCGGTATAATTTTAATCCCATTATTATGTACTCCGTATATATTACTTCTAAGTTACATTCTCATACTCAAAGTGTTAAGTAAAAATGGATCCACCTACAAAAATATCATGATGATTGATGAACCATTGGTAATATAATTATTTCTTTTGCATACATGCTTCATGAATACTCGTCATTTGATTGGCCTCTTTAGCAAAAGAACAAAGTTTGATCTGATGTTTGGATAACTTTGGCCCTTTCGACATCAACCGTATTTGTATTACAATTACTCTATGTTGATGATAAAATTTAACCGAGTAGCATAGTACTTTATTGTTGTATGTTATAAAACTTTATTCGGTACTATATAAAAGGATTGAACTATTTGAGTATAAAATGTTTGGAATGTGATGCATGCCTTGTGAAGAAGTTGTGAGTGTCGAGACCTTTTGTGCCGTTTAATTTATTATTATTATTAAGTTGGTTATTACTTCGTATTAGTTTAAATTTATTACAATTGTTAATTCAACTGTGTGATTTCAAAATTCTTACAAGAAGCTACTTTTGACACTTGAGAATCATGAACTCTCAATCTTTTTAATTGTTATTGATCAACATTGTACCAAGAATATAAAAATTGATTTTTATTGATTAACACCGATTATTATAAGGTAAACCCAAGAGCGGGCAATCTACATAGTGATCCCAGTAACTTACCATACCACATCTATGTACTTGATTTTCCATTTGCATTGGGTTTCTATCGTGTTGTACCCCAAATAGTAATGCAAGTTCATGAAATCACAGGTGAGGGTACTAATTTATTTGAATAAATTCATTTACATTTGTCAACCAAATTTTAGGTATCTATCCTCAAAAACTTCAAATTAATTGGCTACTACAAAGAGTACACAAATTAGTTCATTTATCCAAATCATAGTAAATTATAAACAAAGATTGATTTGGACAAGGAAGGAAAGGTAATAGTAAATGGATTACATACAATATTGAGCATCAAATTAAATAGCATATAGTTACATGTCAGAATCATCAACTATCATCAATACTACTAAATGAGATAGCATACCCTTTCACCAACCTCTTTTACAAACAAAAACTTACACCAACTAACTTTGTTAATAACCCTCTTTCGTATACTATCGTACCAACAAGTGCTTGAATCAGCTGATACACCCGAGAACACAACAACATTTGTTGGCTCGAATCTGAATTAGTCGGACCCTGATTACCGTGTAATATACCTTAAAATACTACCGTACCA